CAGGGGTGGGGTGTTGGGGTAACAGGGGTCCCCCACCCCATAGGGATCCAGGGATGGGGACATTGGGGATCCTGGGATCCCCTGGGATGGGGTGTTGGGGTGAAAAGGGTCCCCCACCCCATAGGGATCCAGGGATGGGGACACTGGGGATCCTGGGATCCCTAGGGTTAGGGTGTTGGGGTGACAGGGGTCCCCCATCCCATAGGGATCCAGAGATGGGGACACTGGAAGCTCCTGGGATCCCCAGGGATGGGGTGTCAGGGTGACAGGGGTCCCCCACCCCATAGGGATCCAGGGATGGGGACACTGGGGATCCTGGGATCCCTAGGGTTAGGGTGTTGGGGTGACAGGGGTCCCCCATCCCATAGGGATCCAAGGATGGGGACATTCAGGTCTTGGGGCACTGGGGATCCCCATTGTCCCCCCAGGGGTGCTGGGACACTGGAGCTCCCAGATTCTCAGGGACAGGGGTTTGGAGGGGGCTGGGGATGTCCCCAAGGACAGGAGTGCAGGTGTGTCCCCAGGGACAGGGATATGGGGACACTGAGGAAGCTGCTGTCCCCAGGGACAGGGATATGGGGACTCTGAGGGTGGCCCCAGGGCCTGGGCGTGCTGAGATGCCACTGGAGATATTTTTAACAGTACTGAGAAATGGGTTTTTTTAGGAACTTAAAGGGGTTTTTCAACCACACCAGCTTCAGTATTTAAAAGAGAAAAAGATAAAAAAACCTAAAAAAAGTCAAAGAAATAAGGATGAGGGAGGTTGAGGGGTGGGGGCTGGTTTTATCTTTTGATTTTTATCTCTGCTTTCAATTCTTTCAGGTTAAAAAGCGCCGTCCTTGATTTTTTTTTAAACCTCTCCAACACCACCAGGAAAAACCGCACGCTGGCGGCAGAGTGAGCGGAAGCTCATGGGCCAAATTCGCAGAGTTTTGACCCAAAACCAGCTCTATTGCTTCTCGGAATGCGGCGGAACCGCAAGTGTGTGAGCGGGGAGAAGTTTGGCCTCGACTTCCCCTAAATTTGGGATTAAAAAAGGGGAAATCGGGTAAAAGGAGGAAGCTGCTTACCCCAAGAGCAGGGGAACCGGAGTGAGGGAGGTTCAACTTTTGGCTGTGTTTCCTCTTCCCAGGGTGCGTCTACGAAATTCAGCTGAAATCGGTCGACGGTGAAGTTATTCATAAGTTCTAAGTTTCGTTTTCTGTGGTAGCCAGCCTGGGAGACACCTGGCGCAAAGCCCTGAGGCCATGCAGGTAAGGAGAAGAAGTTTCTGGAGAAGAAATGAAGGAAACGGTACCCTCCAAAAATGAGGATTTTTCACAAAGTGAAGATTTTTTGTGTTAAAAGCACAAGAAATTCTCACAAAAATGCTGAAGGAAATGCTAAAGAATTCCCACCAAACCAAAAAAAAGCTGAATTTAGGTGCTCACCTCAGGGAATATTGGTGACCGTTTCAGCATGAAGCCTCCAAAAACCGCCTCCTTGGGCAGGTATCAGCCTTTTTTGAGGAGAGCAGAGTGTGGTTTTTAAGCGATTCTTCTACAAATCCACAGGAAAGGGGCTGCAGGACATGGTGAGGGGTTGCCCGAGCGTATCGGCCTCTCCAAAGTTCCTGATTGTGCAGATTTATTTTTTTTTTTTCTAGGAAATCAGAATTATGAAATGTTTCCTTCCCCCCCTAGGATGAGATGACGTGTCTTCCCCGCTGCATAAATTGGGATGATATAGAAAGAAAAAAATCAGAGATGTCCCAAGGCAACTCCTATGAGAACCTTGACCGCACTGAGGGGATGGAGATGGAGAAACAAGAGAGGAGGAAAATGCCTAAAGGAGGTATCGGGGCAAGGGAGCGGCTTTGGGGATCCAGAGAGGTGATATTGGAGGGTTTCAGCTCTTTAAAACGGTTTTTCTCCAAAGTTACAGCCAATTTTTGACACTTGGTTCCACAATTTAGTTTAAAAAAAAAAAAAAAAAGGTTTGAGCGTGGAGAACAGGGCGGGGGAGCCACTCGAGAGGTTGTTTTGGGGGTATCTCTTCTCTTTGGGCTCTTCTTTAAGAAAACATCTCTTGAGTGGGGAGATTTTTGGGGCTGTCTCACCCTGTTTCATCCCTGGCAGTGCTGTCCCTCCTCACCTGGTCTCTGGAGAGACCCGTCACGCTGCTCTACGTGCTTCTGGCCCTCACCTTCGTGCTCTTCACGGCTCTCACCATCGTGAACGCCCAGAGAGGTGAGTCCGCCGCGCACCCCATGCTCCGATCACCCGTGCTGAGCGCAGAGTGGGCAGGATTTGGGGGGAAAAAACAGCGGATGGAGCAAAACGTGGCTCCGAGTTAGGATCGAAGGGCCTTGTGCAGCCTGTGAGCTCTCCGGGGCTGGACCCGGCACGAAGGCAAACGCTCTCTTCCTCTCCCCCAGTATCCGCGGCATGGGAGGCACTGGAAG